GGGTTTGTCTCCCCAGTACGCGCTCCCTGTCGCCCCAGTGGCTGGAGACTGCTCGGTGCCTACTCTCCCCACCTCCCTACCCCCTTCCCGGGGGTTGTTTATGTTCCCTTCCTTTCGCTGGTGATTTGTCCCCTGCGCATCGCGGCTGCAGGGGTGGGGCCGGGAGACTTGCCTACTCTTCAGCGTAATAGGCGGGATCCTGTCGCTTTCCCGTTTCTTGTCTTCCAAAAATCTTGTTGAACAGGACGGGTCATGCCTTTTCTGGGCTTACCACCACGTCCTCCAGCCTCCCTCAGCAGCCGCCTTCACCCCGCGTGTGACTTCCACGGTCGCGTTCAACACCTTGCCTAGGAACGCCGAGGCCACCGCCCGGCGTGCGCGCTCCGGCGCCTGCTTAGGCGCACGGCTCCACCTCCTCCAGCCCAGGTTCCTCCTCGGCGGTGAGCCTGACTGATTTGATTCCCACGGCAATTTGGCTACCAGAATCCCGTCTCTCCCCGCCTCGCGGCTCCCCACTCTCCTCTTCTGGGTAACGGCTGGGTGACTTGGAGGGCGCGCTCTCCCCAGCAACTTCTTTGCGGGCTCTTTGTTACTCTGCCTGTTTGCGGGCAGGAAGGCGCGCTCGCTCGTCTCGCTGCAGCCCGCAGGACCACCGTGCGTGTATCTGCAGGAAAAGGAACGTCTCCCTGTTTTCCAGTCCCCACCCCACCCCCACCCAGGGTCCGGGGTGGGGGTGCGGGGACACTTAGGGAGTTCTCGCTATACTAGATTCCTGGGGTTTTCTGGGGGGCAGGGGGGAGCCTGATTCTCACATGGGGGATGGACGGGAATTGGGCCACAGTAGTCCGTGGGGACATCGTCTGGTTATTGCTAAATCGCGGGGACTTCGAGTGGGCAGAAAGCAGCTGCCGGAGATGGGCCACCCAGGCAGCGCTGTCCTGGGCACCCTAGCGGAAAAACTGCCAGGCTGCTGCCCTGGGGGGTATGAGGCGGGAGGGGGGTGAGAAAGAGGCAGTGTCCAGGCAGGAAGGACGCGCTCTGCAAGTAGAGAGGGAAGACCACCTACCTACCTAGCAGTCACTCTGCACCGCTGGAGCTCAGCTGCAGCCCCAGAGAGGCAGAAAGACTCTCTTAAGTGAGCTCTGCGTTTTCATTTTGGGGAAGATATGTTTTGAAAGACAGCAAGGGGGAGCTGTTTTCAGGCTATTTCACGAAAGAAGAAAACAAAAAAACACAGTTTATAAAGTTACCCGCTCTGTAGATACACGAACGTGACTTTTCGATCAGAATGTTTGTGTATGGTAGCCGTGGTATAAATCTGCCTCAGAAAAATATCTGTGAAATGTAGGAACAGAAACCAGAGGTTTTCGGAGGTGCAGTTCTCAGTGGTGGTTCCACTTTGCTTCCCAGTTCTCCATGCAGAGTCCTGAGATCGTGGCACTAAGGATGCTTGACTTGACCTTTGGAGTCCTGCTTCACTGTGGCTGTATAAGCCTCAGTTGGTGCATCTTAAAAATGGGAACAAAAGTACCCGCTTTACCTACTATAAGGTTATTGTGAGAAGTAAGACAATGTTTTGTGTGGGGAAATGCTCTCAAAGCTACAAGCTGTGTTGTGTTGTTTCACAGTCTCCAAGATATGTAAGAGGAAAAAGATTTTTAAAAGCTTAGAGATTGCAATAAGTAAAAGGTTTCTAGACCACTTGCCTGGAAGAATCCTTCAAGCAATTAGGTAGCAGTCACTGACTCAGAAAGGTGATCTTCTGTTAAGTCATAAATTACATTAGTGCTCCTTACGAGAAATAATGTCTGACCCTAGTAGCCCTGGGTATTGCAAAAGTGGTTCATTGACCAGAACCTGGCAATTTCATTGCTCTTGGCTGTAGGCCTTAGAGTATTTAGATTTCCTAAGGGGAGGGAATATGCAGTACAGTGTCACTAAAGTTCCTTTGGGTGTTCTTATTCCAGAGGGTAGTGGTGGCCTCTCAAGAAATCATTCATCTGTGTCAAGCCCTCTGATCCAATAATCAACTATATCCAATTTATAAAAATAATTGTTAGTTTACATAAGCGGGCACAGTTGGAAGATATTCAGTGAACAATAGTACTAGTTACTCATATACATTGTGTGTGTGTGTTGTATCTGACATATGTGGAGATATATAATATATAAATTTCATCAGGAAAAAATGTTCAATGCTGATTCCAGATCCCACTCCCTCTTTCAATCCAAATAGTTTTTAAAATGTGTCTCTCTTGCCTGGCCGGCGTAGCTCAGCGGTTGAGCATCGACCTATGATCCAGAAGAGATCGAGGTTTGATTTCCGGTCAGGGCACATGACTGGATTGTGGGCTCGATCCCCAGTAGGGGGTGTGCAGGAGGTGGCCGATCAATGACTCTCTCTCATCATTGATGTTTCTGTCTCTCTCTCCCTTCCTCTCTCTGAAATCAATGTATACTTTTAAAAAAAAGTGTCTTCATTTTACTGGTTCCATATTCAAAGAAAACCAGAGCCATTGAAATACAGACTCAGTACCTCACTGGACGTGCTATGAAAATTAGTGGGGGTAAAGAAATTGTGGTCCTAAAATGTGAAAAAAACATAGTCAATATTTTCTGTGGCATCTTGTGCTTTTTCTTAGGGCACTTTGCATTTGTTCTGTTCTTCTTGTATTGACTTACTATTTTTTCCCTTTTACTCTCAGTGGATTTCAGTTAACATGCTTTTTTGGAGGGGGATGGGTGGTGAAATAACAAAAAGAAAAACATATAAGTTGTGCATACATGTTCAGTTGTCTTTCTCTTTCATTTGCCAGTTTTTGTTTCTCCCAGTTTGCAATTCCAGATATTTAAGAAGCATTTCAATTAGTGGAAGCTGCAGCCTCCTTTACTTACTAGCTGTGTGACATTGTTTTAAACTTTGAGCTTCAAATTCTTCATCTGTAAGACCTTAGTGATAAAACACAATGCAGTTGCTACATTAATTATACAACTGGTTGTTTAAGTTTCTGGCATTTCGTGGGATTCAAAACATTAATTCCCCCTTTTTAAAAGTATGTAAATATCCTCCATATTACCTGTTATTTTGCCAAGGAGGCTTTTCCTTTCAATTAAAGCAGCATATGCTCAACTCCTTTCTGTGCAATAGAAGACATTGATAGGATTTTTATGAGAAAAGGATTCCATGGTCCAATATGTTGGGCGAAGTCCTGTGTATGCGTCCCATTCTCTCCTGGAGATTTATATATAAAAAACCTCTGAGAAACCTGCTTAACTTTGTTTATCAGTGTTTCCCAAAGTTTCTGGACTACAGAAAACCTCCATCCTTTTACTTTCCCCATGGAAAGGTGATGAACATATCACAGGGCAATGGATACAGTCTGAAGAACAGAGTAAAGTACTAGGAGTCGAGAGAGCTTGGGGGCTATCACTGGGCTCAGTCAAATCAAGAAGCTGAGGGTGTGAGTCAAGTATAACCTACTCTCCCAGGGGCAGGGATGCTCAGTATAAATGGACTGCATTTAGTTCATCATGTTACGTTATGTACTGCTCCATAGCTGCTATTCAATACGTCTTACTTCCTTTTCTTAAACTGTCAATTTTGATATCTGCAGAAGCATTCATTTTACTTCTATAGCCCGAAATCACTTTCTCCTTCAATTATAAATTAATGACACTGCAGTTACAGGCTGTGGTCTGGTAGTCCTACCACTACTTCTGGCAAATCAATAATTAGCTGTGGCACGTTACTGGGTCTTAAGCTGAATGCAAAGAAGTATGTAATGATCACTAACATTTATTAAACCTTTTGTCTGTGCCAGGCACTGTCATAAGTGATTCATATAATCCTCCCGATGACCCCCTGAGGGTCATTTCATTTTACATTTGA